CAGCTTTTCGGGGATTGCTTTTTCAAGCAGTGATAGTAGTGGTTGTTTTCCTACTAGTAGTAGTCGTTCTAGTGATGGTAGAAGTAAGGTTGAAAAGCAATCCCCCGAAAACTGGAAGGATGCTTTTCGGGGATTGCTTTTCCCGGTAGTATTTGCAGTAGTAGTAATAGTAGTGGGAGTAGTAGTAGTAGTAGTAGTAGTAGTAGTAACAGTAGTAGTAGTAGTAGTAGCAGTAGTGCTTCTAGTGGTGGTAGTACTAGGTAGGACGTGATTGCATTAGGATATGGCGTAGGTAGTAGGATTATGGATTATAGCCAGGATTACGGATTAAAACGGATTGCGCGCAATTCGCGGTTTAGACGGATTGCGGATTGTGCTGTTTAGGCCCGTCGGGCTTACGAACAGCTCAGCTTGAAGCTCCTCCATTTCTTCTTCTCAGCGACTTGATCCTTTGCACGCCAACCAGCAGCCCAGGCTTCGTTCAACTCCTCATGCGTCACCGACTCCTCCTCCGGCTCATCGTCTTCATTGCCATCTTCCGGCATGTCTTCTTCACAAAGCTCTTCGTGCATAGGCCTCATCATGCTCCAGATCTGCCTCCTCATCATCATCAAATGGCAGTCCATCATCTTCTGCCATCGCGACATGAGCACCATGGCCCTTGCCGCTTCCTCTCTTCTTGAAGCGTGAGGTCGTTGAAGAGGCTCTAGTGGAAGATGCCATCGAAGCTGAGGACATACAGCGAGACCACAGACACGGCACTGACCTCCGGATCCTCTGTCATCGGTGACGAAGGGCCTTCTCGATCTCCTTGGCATAGCACTGTGAAAGATATCTAGGCGTAGAGGGAAGCACGAACAAGAAGCCGCTGTGCTGCTCGAAATCCTCTTGAGATGGAGAAGTCACTGAACCCTCACTCCCAGTCTTCCAAGGATCACCATTCGGCTGCTGCCAAGGATCCGGTGGTGGAACATCAGGCGGCGGTGGCGTGTCCACAGCCGTAGGCCCACCGGTGTCTGTTGAAGCACGCCCTGGATCAGCCTTAAGACTCCAGGTCTGGCGGATGCAGCAGTCTTCGTCGCCATCGACAAAGGGGGTGCAGGCAGGCAGCCTATGTTTCAACCCCAAAACCACTGCTGCACCAAATGACCCGGTCGGGAGCCCCTCAGGGCTCCGCTACCAATATGCGGACAATTGGGGGATCGACCAACCCAAACGCAAACCCTCAAAAGAAAGCAAATGCAACCGAAGCGGGCTTTTCGCAATTCGCGCACATGTGGCTGCGGCTGCGGGGTTCAACACCTAGTAGCAAGCGGCTCGAATGTCACGACAAGCAACCAACATGCGAACCATCTTTCTTCACAGATGGAAGATAGTTGGCTTCGGAGACGCGGCTGCAATCTCCTCTGCCAACAAATGTCAGTCTCATCATAGTCATCATAAAGAGATAATCACCAGCAAATCCAGCTCACTCGTTGGGTGCTCCCTGCTGATGTCGTTAGTGCGCCTGTAGCTATTGGATGCTATTCGCACCATCCAAGAGTTATTGGTGTCCCCACCAACAAACCCTTCCTTTCACGTCCATCGTTAGGCGGTCGCACCGGGCGCCCAAACGCAGTGCCCGAACTGTGGTGCCTTGGCCACATGTTGTTCGATCAAAGGAAAGCTGATCGAAACCTGCATGTTTAAAAAACAATAGGATTAACTTGTTACTAGTAGCTTCTTGTTACTAGTAGCAATGGCCTCAAACCTAGAAGCGATGGCCTCCAAGTTAGTAGTTTCTTGTTACTAGTAGCAATGGCCTCAAACCTAGAAGTGATAGCCTCGAACCTAGTAGTTTTTTGTAGAAGCGATGGCCTCCAACCTAGTAGCTCGTTGTTACTAGCAGCAATGGCCTCCAACCTAGAAGCCTTGGCCTCTAACCTCGAAGCGATGGCCTCCACCCTAGTAGCTTCTTGTCACTAGTAGCAACGGCCTCCAACCTACCTAGTAACTTCTTGTTACTAGTAGCAATGGCCTCCAACCTAGAAGCGACGGCCTCCAACCTAGTAGCTTCCTGTTACTAGTAGCAATGGCCTCCAACTAGCTTCTTGTTACTAGTAGCAATGGCCTCCAACCTAGAGGCGATGGCCTCCAACATAGTAGCTTCTTGTTACTAATAGCAATGGCTTCCAACCTAGAGGCGATGGCCTCCAACCTAGTAGCTTCTTGTTACTA